TAACGATTCATCTTTACAGAAATATGTTCCCATTTGAATACAGAAGAAGTTGTACTTATTAAGAGGTTAACTTGAGAGCTGGTGCTCACCAAAAGCTAATTAGTGTCTATTTCATGTTCTGGAAAGATAAAATATCAAAGCCCTATGGACGTGTCTTATTTATATATACAGTATTCCAGAAATGAATGGGATAATCAGAAGATTAAACAGGAACATCCTTCACTTATGGAAAACAGGATAAAATAAATCTGAAATTCATTGTCACACATTGTTTTGAATAAGAATGGAAAGACCTATCCTCTCAGCTCTAATCATGAATATGGGCTTTTTAAGAGTGTACTTCTCCCTGTCTACTTCTATAGTCAAGTGTTTCCAAACAAAAGTGAATTCTGCAAATTCTTGCGTATGAGAAGAGGTTTTTGGCCAGAGCAGGTGCTATTTGAAACAGCCAGAAGATTAAGTTGGCACTAATTACAAATATATGACTATGTCTTAATATTAAACTAAAATTTCCCTGGTTCACCGGTACAAGGCTAATTTTACCCACAATGTTTACAAAAAGACAAGTCTTAGGTAAGAAAAAAAATGAACAAGCTTTTATTAAATGCCATGCAACTATCGGGCACCACGCCATCAACGCCACAGTTGATTACTGAATAACTTTAATAACAGGTATGTTTTAAATCTGTTCCTTTAAATTGAGGAGAGGCTGTCCTGTGTATTGAGGAGGGGGTAACTGGGCAATGGGGACGGAGGGGGAAGAAGAGGAAGAGATACACTGATGAAGGACTAAGGGACAGGGAGTTATGCAAGAAACAGCCACTATCCACAGAGAGAATGGGTCATACAGCGAGCACACTGGAGGTCTTTCCAAATTGCTCAGGCTTAGTGCCTGCTGGGAGTGAGCAAGTCTAGGAAGAGATGCTTAAGCAATTGCCTGGCTCTTCCACCAACAGCTCCCTGGACTTCTCTGTGAAGTTCACCTAAAACTTGAAAAGCTATTCAGTTGCTGAGGAGTCTCAAAAATTACTAAACCTTACAAACCTGGGAAATCCAGAAGTCCCCAATTTCCATTTTTCTAGCTATAATTATCCATTCTGGCTCTTGTGAGGCAAGAGCAGGAGGTTGCAAGGTAGACAGGGCCTGACAGTTGCCTCTTGTTGGTCTCCAAATGCGGTATATATATCCCTCAAATAATACCAGCAGTGCATTGAAAAATCTGTAACTAATCAATGATAAGGGGTTCTTTGGAAACTTAAGAGAGCAAACAAGTATCCTTAAGTTTAATTTCAAAAATCCCTGGAGTTTGTGACAAATTGGCATTACAATTCTGAGATCTATCATAAGCACGGGGTTGTAAATGGACAGCTGGACCTTAATTTTTCCCATTCACACGAAGAACTGTTTCAATAATGTGCTACCTAAGGGTTCTCAGCCCAGGAAAGGAGGAGAAAGGTGATGTTGGATCCCAGGGGACATTTGGCAATGCCCGGAAATGTTTTTGGTTGCTGAAACTGGGGAGTGCTATTGTTGGCAACTCTGTGGACTGAGGCCAGGGATGCTGCTAAACATCCTGCGATGCACAAGACAGCCCCTCACAACAAAGAATGATCTGACTCAAAATGTCAATAGTATTGAGGTTGAGAAAGCCTGGTCTACTCCAAATATTTTAAACATTATTAACTCATAATACTGTATGGTGAAATTAAGGAGTCATTATTTCATTAATTTTTCATTAAAATTAATATCATCATTAATAACCAATTTCACGATGGCAATTTGTAAAACAGACCCTGCCTAACGTTGTTCATAAGCTATACAGGAGAAAAAAATTGACACTTTTGTGATTTGTGACAGAAAGGAAGAAAGAGAGAGAGAAAGAAGGAGAAAGGAAGAGTAGAAGGGAAAAATCAGCTATTTTCATTCATAAAAGCATGCACACGCAATTTTCAATGAACTAGAAAAATCATCTTTCTCAGACAATACACTGAGAAAAGTGAGGAACAAAATTATTACAAATTATCCTACTCATAAAAACTAATCAATTATTCAGTTGTTATTCTTCAAACATATTAATATGCCACATGTGAAAATCAGCCCTCTTGTCAGAAGCTATAACAGCCAGAAGATGAATGTACCAGTATGTATTTATTATGAAATTTTTTAGTTCCTTTGGTTATAGGGCAATTTAAAAAAAATTAAAGAAAGCTATCAAAGGAATAATCCTGTGGTTTGGGAGATACTAGAGTGTGCTCAGCTCAATCCCCTTCCTGTCTTCTTCCTTTTCTGGTAGGTCACCCTTCCAGTGAATAGGAACCATCTGCCTTGGTAATCATGGGTTCAAACTCCTTGAGAACAGTAACTAACATTTTCTAAGCATCTACTCATAAGATAAGCAAAATCACTTTTATAGCTCTTCTCAAAAAATCTTTGGTATTAAAATGATGAAATGAACTAGAATTTCATCAAAATAGGAACCTCACACAGATCAATCCATGGGGGGGTACTCAATAAAAGTTTGAGAGTGAATGAATGAGTTAATCCTTTTTTAAGCCCTATGCTAAATACGACAAACCTAGATGGATTTCTCTTAGCTTAGGTTTTAGAATCACATTTTCATAAATACCTATCATATTACAAATGAATCCATAATCTAAGCTGTTCCATTAAGACAATGTTAATTTCTTCCGCTTTTTGGCCTCCTGGCCCTGATGCCTGAAAAATGAGTCAATTACTTTTGATAATTATTGCAAATGTCTTACTAATCCCACTGGAAATGTAAACGTGATCAGAGGACAAAGAAAGGAAAGACGCTTAGCCAGATTTTCAGCCACGGCTTCAGCTCTAGCAGCATGGGAATGACTTTCTTCTTCAGCAATATTTTAAAATCTGGGATTTTATTAAGGAAAATAAATTTGTACAAAAGGTTATTTCGCTATAAATTCATTTCTTTTCCATTTCCTAGTAATTGTTAGTATGAATTTTCTTAAGCATTAATGTCTTCTATTCACTTTGATAAACAGTTTTGGGGCAACAACTCCAGAAGAGCCCCGACTCCTAGAGTCAGTCTGCTTAGGTGAAAGGAGGAGGTAGAGAAGGATAGAAAAGGCAATAAGCAAAATGTGTAAGTCACCACTTTGGAATGAACTGAACCTGAATAAAAGTGGGAAAGAAGAGTAAGAAACAAGAGAATGGGCAAACACGACCACCTCTGTGACAGGCATGAGATTCAAGCGTGGGGCACCAACACTGCCATCCATTTAATGACTAGGAATATTGAGTTTTGGTTCCAAAATAGTTTTCCTATTCAGATCCTGCTCTTTGTGTATAATTCTTATTGTTTCAAAAACAGCTTTTTTTTTTTAATTAGAAGTGATTCTTCAAATCCAGTTCACACACCAGGATTTGATACATGCAGCAAGTTCCCAATGCACTGATTTTCAGCAATACTTAACTGCATTGCTACTTCGTCTTGCAAGCAGCCGGCAACCCCACAAGGCTAAGACCCTTTTGCTTTTGGCAAATTTTCACTAAGTACTTTCCTCCCCAAAGAAGGATCTAAGTCCACCAGACTTTTAACCCTTGGAAACCTGCAACGCCTCCTTTCTGAAAGCTTTTGGGGGGCCACTCGGCAGTCTGGCTCCTCTCTTGCAGCCTGGCAGGGGCTTGTTCACAGGTAGTTGTGAATGCGGCTGCATCTTGGAGAGAAATGACTTCTTTCAGCAGCGCTCGATTCAAAGGCAAATTAAGAAGGGGGGCAGAGAGGGAGAGAGAGAGAGGGACCTCCTCTCTGCTCTGAGAGTGCGACACCCCGGGGACGGGGAGCTCACCGGAGCATCTCGTTCCTCGCCTCGCCTCCAGCGGGCTCACACACCTGTGGGCCCTGGGAGCTCGGCAGCTGCGGTGCTGGCTGGATGCTCCAGCACCTGTGCGACTGCCTAGCAATCAGGTGTGTCCTAGCTGTGTGTTCAGAGACCGTGTAGGTGTTGCAGGAATTTCACTCTCGAGCGACAACCGTGAAGCAGGAACACTTGCTCCCATTTTTAAAAATATATTTATGTATTTATCTGAGCGAGGGAGAGCGCGCACCTGCAGGAGCCGGGGGCGGGGGGGGAGGGGGCGTGCGGAGAAGCAGGCTCTCTACGGAGCAGGAGCCCCACGAGGGGCTGATCCCAGAACTCGGGCATCCTGACCTGGGCCACCCAGGCGCCCCGCGCCCACTTGCTCCCATCTTACAAGGAGGCAGCTGGGTCTCGGGCACACGGTGGTGGGTAGAGCCGCGAGGTGGAGACAAACCGGGGCTCCAGACCCGCGCTCCTAAGCACCTGGGCGCTTCCCTGCAGGGAGCGCCTCCGCCCTGGGCGTCGCGCAGCTGCTAAGGATCGCGGTTCCAGGCATCAGCCGGGACCCAGGGGCTCTGCAGCCCCGCGCAGGCGGGGACCCGGGGTCCCCGGGGGCCCGAATGTGCCCGTTGGACGCTTCCCAGCCGGAGGCGGGCTGCGACCCGGCTAAAAAGTGGCGGCGGGACTTGGGGCGGGAGCCACCTCCCGGGCGGGGCGGGGTTCGAGCCCCGCCAGGAGCCGGCGGGCGCGGAGGGGGCGTGGCGTGGCGTGGCGGGGGCGTGGCCTTGGCCGCTCCAGGAGCCGGCGGGCGGGGCGGGGCGGGGCGGGGGCGGGGCGGGGGCGGGGCTAGAGTCCGTCCCCCGCAACCCCCCCCCCCGGGAGCCTCAGCAGCCGGGCGGGAGGAAGGCGAGGCGGGGCGCGCGGCGCGGGGCTCGGGTCCCCCACCCAGGAGCCGCGGGGGCCGAGGTGGGCAAGGCGGGGCTCGGGTCCGTCCCCCCCCAGGAGCCGGCGGGCCCGGAGGAAGGCGGGGCGGGGCTGGGGGCGGGGCTGGGGGCGGGGCTCGGGTCCGTCCGCTCCCTCCCTGTCCCCCCTCCCCCCCAGGTCTCCCCGCCCCTGGAGCGGCGGGGCCCGCGGAAGGCGGGGCGGGCCGGGGCGGGGCGGCGGGAAGGGGGGCCCGGGCCGGGCTGCAGCGGCCGCCGCGCCCCGAGCGCCGCGATGGGGCTGGAGACCGAGAAGGCCGACGTCCAGCTCTGCATGGACGACGACGCCTACAGCCGCCACAGCGCCGTGGACTTCGGCGACCTGGAGCAGCTGGCGGACTCGGGCTCCGACCGCGACCCCCGCCGCCTCAACTCGCACCTCCAGGTGAGCCCGGGGCGGCCTGGGGCGCGGGGCCTCGCACCTCGCGGGGGGGGGGCCGGGGGGGCGCGGGGGGGGCGCTGGCGGCCCCGATGTGCCCCGCCCGCCCCGGAGATGGGGGCGCCGCGGCCCCTCCTGCCCCCCCTCCCCCCCGGGGTGCCCCCCCGGGGGCACCGCGGCCCCTCCTGCCCCCCTCCCCTCCCCCCCCAGGGCGCGGCGGCAGAGGTTCGCGACCCCTGGTCTCGCCCCTGCAGGTGGGCTTCGAGGACGTGATTGCCGAGCCCGTGTCCACGCACTCCTTTGACAAAGTGTGGATTTGCAGCCATGCCCTGTTTGAGGTCAGCAAGTACGTGATCTACAAGTTCCTGACGTTGCTCCTGGCGATGCCCATGGCCTTCGCGGCAGGGGTTCTCTTCGCCACCCTCAGCTGCCTGCACATCTGGTGAGAAGGGGCACCCCGGGGCGCCGGCTTGCTGAACCGTGGGGTCGTGCCTTGCCCCTGCCCCCTGCCCCCTGCCCGCCCCCCCCCCTCCCCCCGTCCTCCCCAGGCCTGCTGCGAGAAGAGCGGGCGCTGGGCGGGAACGGGGGCCAGGTAGGGCCTTCCTTAGGGGCCTAGGTTGGCTGAGGAGCTTAAACAGAAGTGACCTTCCTTCGGGTGTTCCTAAGGCCCAGCTGCCGGTGCAGGTGGCGACCTGGGGGCCCTGCTCCCCGCCGCACAGGCTGCGGGTTAGGACTTGTGCCCGTGGTTCCGGGCAAGGCACTCAGGTCTTCCATCAGCTTCTATTCGGTCACCACCTGTGCTTGGGCGAAAACGAACGTGATCCCCTAGCAGAACGCCAGTGACAGGATAATTGAGCAGGGATGTCAGGCCTGGTTAGGCGTGCGATGGATGGAGGGGCAGCTCCAGCCCTGCCACTAGCAAGTGGCAAGGCTGACAGCAGAGGAGAGGTCCTGTGTGTGCCACTAAGGTGAGGAATCCCCCACAGAAACGAATGAACGCCCAAGCTGCAGGATAAGCAAATGAGAAGGGCTCCAAATTACTTTTTTTCACCCATGACACAACATGGGGAGTGGCCTCAACTTAAAGGGAAAACAAGTATAGAAACCTACTGGGCATTAATAGGATATTTTGAGTGACCTTACTTACACTCAAAATGCATCATAAAACTTTGGAGAACCTTTCAAGCATTAAAAATATTTTAAAGGAACATGTTACATCTACCAAGAAGTTGTGCTGCTATTGTTGTAAAAGGTATTCACTTGGTCCTGAGAGATGGAACATTCTGATCATCCCCCAGTATTGCAACAGTTGTCAAGCTTGTGCTTAGGGCAGTCCTGGCAAAATGTATAATCAATCCTAAATGCCTCCTTGTCTTTCCTAATCACTTTACATGGTATTGCCGCACCCTCACACCCTAACAGGTATTGTGTTCATTGCTAGAAGCTACAAAATTATTCTCAGTTCCCTTTACCTTGTAAATCGATTTGCTTTAGTTACTTAGCTGGCTAGTTAGGTCGACCAGATAAATGTACTGAGTGCTTAGTTTGTGCTGGGCGCTGGGCCAAGGATGAGTAAGATGTAGGGTCTGCTTCAGTTCCCTCAGCATACCAGGGCAGCTGGCTACGTAACAGAAGTAGATGCTGAGGAAAACTCTGTCAAACCCATTGAGGAAGATGGAGAGGGGCACTGGGAAGTCCTCATAGAGAAAAAGGAGTCTAAAAAGTCTTTTAAATTAAAAAAAAAAATTCTGGGCACTTGGGTGGCTCAGTTGGTTAAGCCACTGACTTGATTTCACCTCAGGTCATGATCTCAGGGTCAGGAAATGGAATCCTGATCAGGCTCAGCATGGTCAGCTTAAGGATTCTTTCTCTCCCTCTCCCTCTAGCCCTCCCCCTACTCACACACTGTCTCCCTCTCCCTCTCCCTCTCTCTCTCTCTCTCTCTCTCACACACACACACATAAATAAATAAATCTTTATAAAAAGTGGATAAATAAAAATTCACCAAATAAGGACAAAGAACATCAATTTAATTTGATCACTAAAGATGGAAAACAACTAAAATATGTTGAAAGTGCCAAAAGACTGCCAGAGGAATGAAAATCTTTGCCTTCATACACAAGCAAATTCACTAAGGCCAGATGTATGGTTAGCTCGTATTCTGACATTGGACACATGGATTTTTTTAAAAGACACCTAAGCCAGCACATAAAGTTTTGGATTCCTAATTAACCAAAACCAGTCATCTAACCTCTTTCAAAAATGTGAAAAACTGAGTGACCACATGGTATATTGTAAACTGTTGGCTATTAAGCTGTTTAGAAATACAGAGTGCGGGATCCCTGGGTGGCGCAGTGGTTTGGCGCCTGCCTTTGGCCCAGGGCGCGATCCTGGAGATCTGGGATCGAATCCCACATCGGGCTCCCGGTGCACGGAGCCTGCTTCTCCCTCTGCCTGCATCTCTGCCTCTCTCTCTCTCTCTCTCTGTGACTATCATAAATAAATTTAAAAAAAAAAAAGAAATACAGAGTGCCATGTGTATGATCAACAAAGCTGGGCGTTCCTAGAGTACCCATTGAGGAATTGAAAACAAATGGTTTTCGTGTTCTAAATAGTGGAAGGCCTAAGTAAAGCTACAATTACCAAATGATGCTTCTCTTCACCTGGCCCTCCTGAAAACGGAAGGTGTTTTTGTGTGCGCGGTGCTTCCAGTGGTGAATCATCAAACCATTTCTTTTTTCAGCTACATGAAATGTATTATTTAACCTCAGCTTGTTTTTCAAATTACATTCATGCGGGACATTAATATTTAACAATCATCCATTCATCATCAGGCCGCTGTGATTGTAAGTAGATAAGTAACTTCGAACAAAAAAAAATGCTTAAAAGTCAGTTTATATCTTGATAAAATAGATTTATCATTAATGGATTACATTCCCATGACATGATAAGACCAGATCAAGGAAAGAAAGGCCTTATAAAAGAACCAACCTATTTGAATAAGCCTTTCTCCTGCATTGTTTCACTCCCCTTCTTTCTTTTTTCTTTTGGCAGGGGGCAGGGGTTGTTTAGTACCAAGACGTTGGTAACGAAAGCTATGAAAGTATTCAGTAATAGGTATTCAAGCCACATGACATTATCCCAATGGATCTGACTTAAGATTGCTTCAACAAACAAATAACAACAACAACAAACACCCAGAACTCAATCTGGTGATGTTGGATCCTAGGTCAGAAGTACAGGCCATGAGGGACCAGTGGATCGGTTTGACACCAGACCACATTCAGAAGGAGATAGCCACCATTTGGCAACAGCAGATCATTGATCCGAAGGGAATCATATCAAAGAAATGTGGTTGGAGCTCCCTTAACCCTTTATTTTTGCTGGGATGCGATTCAAATAGATGGTCCAACTTGCAGAAATATGATAGTAGCAACTTCTCTTCAAGAAGAGATTTTTACTTTTTTAAAAAAAAGCTTATTTAAATTCAATTTGCCAACATAGAGTGTAACATCCAGTGCTTTTTAACATAGCAAATTGCTGTGACCATGCAACCTACGTGACACTATACTTAATGCAAAGCTAAGTAAAAGTCTCTGTTCCAAAGGCTTTGTTATCCAATGGAGGAGTGTGTCATTCTATAAATTAAAAGGTTTCTTTAAGAAGTGCTTGAAGAGCATCGGATCCTCTGACCCACAGTGAGAGAACAACAACTTAAAGAAAATAAAACTAAAATGAGTTTACCATATCCTATCAACTGAAGTCTCAGATGTAAGCAGCTGCACTTTGCTGAACTGGAAAGTCCGCTTTTGTCCTGTGCTTAAATTCCCTTTTAGAACATGGAGATCTAAGAAGCTAAGCGATAGAAAATGTCTTAGCCTAAGGAAGAGGAGAAAGTGTATTATATTCTTAATGAAGTAGATTTGGTTAGGAAGCCTTCTGATTTAAACTTTAGTTGTATAGTACATGCAATTTGAGATTATTTTCTTTTCACTATTTATTCTGATTTCACATTGTTCTACTTACGCGTGACGGCCTCATATGTACATTATAATGACAGCATCATATAGACGTTTCAGGGGTGCACAGAAAGTGTTAATCCTTATAGCCAATCTGTCAGAGCTCCTGTTCTGCCTTCATTTGTAGTGATACACCCAAGGCCATACATCAAGTGAGAAACAATGGGATAAGAAGTCAAAAGTTGTCATCATTCAGCATTCCATTCAACTGTTTAGCTCTGAAACACCCCGTAATTAATTTTCTTTAAAAATTTCTTTTAGTCTTTAGCACTTGGAACAAGATATGAGATAAATATAAATGTGTATACAGTCGATATGAATAATTCAGTATTCTAAAAATATCTCAATCAATCGGACAGATCTTCCCTTCCCTTTCGGCTAAGCACAGCAGACCTTAAGTCCCATTTTAATAGTAAACCAGGAAAATCAACCTTACCTCCTTGTGCCCATCCAGATAATAATAAAAATTCCATTGAGGCTACCAACAATTCCTGAGAATTCAAAGATACTTTTGTGCTCGAATATCACTTCCACAACAGAGAGCATTATTCAGAAGATTATAGAGAAAATTAATCAGCCTCAGGAATATGAACATTTGCAAATTATCCTGAGAAAAGACATAAGGAAAAAATAATTTCAGTATAGTCTAGGTTTTTTTGTTTTGTTTTGCCTAAGAGTTCTGACATAATTGCAGGGCTCTTTTAATCCTACCACACAGCTCTACCACACAGTATATATAATAACTATGAAAAATTAGTAATATTAAGCATGACGGAATGCTAAATTCGGTTCAGCTCAAATCTTTGATGAAGGTCAAGGGTGTCCTCACTCAAAGAGCCTCCATTCTAGTAGGAAAGACAGAAATGTAGCCCTCTATTTATGATCCCCTTTGGTAAATTTGAGGATTAGGAAATTTTGTACTTTAGAAGCCAAAGAAAAGGAGTATCCAAGCCAGCCTCGCCCAAGGGATAGGGTAGTGGAATGAGGCAACTGGAAGTAGAACCTCAGGAAAATATGAAGAATTAAGCAGGTTTAATGTTTAGGGGCAGATACATTTACTGTTTTATTTCTTGTTTGCTTTACTCTTTTAGGTAGCATGCCACCTACCGAGAGACTACTAGTGTTTAGCATCTACATGCTTGTTTATTTTTTTAAGCAACATGTCTCTGCACATCTCATCACTCGGAGGGTCACTGTTTATTTACTTGTTTCAAATGTACAGCCAAATTTAGGTAAATTCGGCCGTTATTATATCTTTCCATGCACGTGCAAGAGTCAGTGGCCTTATTTGGTAAAACCAATAATGCCTACACAAATCTCTTCCTCCATTCCAGGATTATAATGCCTTTCGTGAAGACCTGCCTCATGGTCCTGCCTTTGGTGCAGACCATCTGGAAGAGTGTAACAGATGCTGTCATTGCCCCGTTGTGTTCAAGTGTAGGACGCAGCTTCTCTTCCGTCAGCTTGCAAGTGAGTCACGACTGAACACTTGGACCCCAGGGCTGGAGAGCTGGATACTGTAATACTTCTTTGTTGTTATAATGCAAAAGCACTACTGTTCTGTTCTAAGCATTCCCAACTGTTCTAATTAAGAAAACATTTTTAAGATGGGCAACCGCATTTGGAAATGTTGATTGGCAGATCTTCTCAAATAATGCTCTTCTAATTAATAGTCAAGGATTTCGTATCTGACTTTAGAGCCAGAATAATACAGTAGGTTGGCAACACTTAATTTTAAAGGCAAGTCTTTACTTTAGTACAAAAGTACATATTTTATAACGATGAATTTATAAAGATCGAGGGACGTTTCCCAAACACTATAATAGTTTTGTGCACAACTGCTTGTAAAAAATATGGAATTTCTTATTTTTTTTTTTTACTCTGAAAGCAATGCTTTTTAAATTACCTTTGCAGATAAAGTCATGGGAATACTTACAGGAAAAATATACAAAGATCCTAGAAATTACAGTGACAAAAGCATGCAGTGGTAATAGGAGCTATCAAATATAGGACAAATAAATGTGAAAATAGAGTCATGAACATGTGTACCTTTAAGTAAGGTATTGTTAACCTACAGGTCTATTTAATAAGATGTTTCATTTTACTGTATATTTTGTACTTAATGTAAATGTTGCTCTAATCAGATTGCTTTTAAGTACTTTTATTATATTTGTTATCTTGTTGAACTAATATATAAAATGAGTAAATGTATCTTTCATGGGGAACTTCATTGGTGAGACTGCACTGTCTTGATTATGTAAGCATATATCTCTTCTTTGGGAATAGAATGTAAAAGAGCGATATACAGGGCTTTTCTCTAACTTTTCCAAGCAAAATCCTGAAATGTTTCATGAGTGATGCTTTCCTGGCTGTGACCTTAAAAATAATCCAAATCTAACTGGTATTTCATCTGGGAGATGCTTTCTCTCTTGTAGTTAGAAATTAAACTTGTATTCTGCGTTCCTGTTAATGTCTCACTTTACCTTCAAGTAATACTGGTGCTATTTAATAACATTTTACATAAAAGCTATTTCTGACACTTAAGCACTATTTCAACTGCAGTGATTCATGGAGAGAGACTTACAGGAAAGTTGTCAATTTGTTGGGCCCATGCTATTGAGCTATACACACAGACACACACACACACACACACACACACGTAAAAACTAACAGATATACTTCATTCAATGAAGATTAGTTTTACTTTTCCAAATTTCCAGGACTGGTAAATATAAAGGATGTCTGAACTGGAATACTATTGGGGGCCAAAGTAAATGAATGATTAAACTATGATACTCCTATCCTTTTGAAAATAGCTACAAAAGAGACTTCAAAAGTGCCTCTGTAGCATCCTTGAGAGTCCCATGATCATTACCTTAAAACATTACCACTCATTTGACTACGTAGATTTTATTATGTTAAAAAAGTCAATCAGTCTTGTGATTTTATAGTTATATGATAAACTGTACAACTATATAGTTGTATTTAAAGTTTTTTATAAAATATTTGGATATGTTGATTGGCCAAAAGTATTTGCTTACTAAAATATGCTTTTAAATAAATCATAAGCTTAAATCATATCTTTTCCAATAGCTATTGATAAGTTTTAAAGCAAAATATATACACACAGGCATATAACAAAACCCATTAAGTTTTAACAAGTAAGACATATGATTTCCTTATTTCTGAATAGCATTGATTATTGTCAAAATGAATTTTTATTGAGATTTGCCATTAACTATTTTATTTCAAAGATTGAAATTTTTTATCAAGTGGATCCAGGTTTCATGTGCAAATATGTTGGTTTTTTTATTGGGGGGTGGGGCAAATAGATGATAAGTATCAGTAATAAACTTTCTAAAAACTCATAAAATGTGTTCACTGTTTTTATTACATTAGATATAAAACTGATCAGTAAAGAACCTTTTTCTAAGCCATTAAAAACCCATAACAGGAAAAAAAATACATGAGTTGCTGCTTATTCAGGAATGTATTTGTGAAAAATTATGGAATTAGTAATTTAATTATTTGTTTTCCCACACTTAAACAGGTTCCCTATAAATTTTTCTATCACTTGATGAATAGTATACACAATGAATTGTTCACAAAGTCATCATACTTCATCTTCCTCATGAAATGGAAGTTTCTTGCTAATCCTAAATAAACTGATATTTCTGTTTTCAATTTTTTAAATAAGAAAGTAAAACAATATAAATCACATGTACTTGGATAGTGGTACCACGAAGCCAGACTAGAGTACAAGATTATTTTTGGAAAGTGAGTATGTTAAGAGTAGTTGCTGATATTGGCACGGATTTTCTCGTCAGTTAATCTGGAAAAATGACCAACCTCTAATAATAAAGCAGGTGTTTGGCTTTCTACAACGTTTTTTATATTTTTGAAGAACCTAAAAATCTCTTTTCAACAGTCATCCACTTCCCATTAATTTATTTAGATGCCTTTCTTGGGAAGCTATTAGAGTGAAAAGGGCCCACCCTCCAGATTAGGCATCCGGACTCCAGTCTCAGCACTGCCGTTACCGAGGTGTGTCACCTGCAAGGGGTTTAATCTCAGGGTCTCAGTTTTTTTATCTCTAATGAAAGAAACTAAAGGATCTCAGGAGCTTCCCTTCTCATTGCTTTCTGTGACTTTAGCAGGATGAAGACTTGTCTTTGTATATGCAAAAACAATCCAGCTGTTCAGACCAGGAATTTTTTAAAAATCACAAATTTGTATCAATTAGAAGGCTGATGTGCTATAAATACAATAATGAATACATTCACTTTTTTTTAAGATTTTATTTATTTACTTATGAGAGACACAGAGAGAGAGGCAGAGACACAGGCAGAGGAAGAGGCAGGCTCCCTGTGGGGAGCCCAATGTGGGACTCAATCCCGGGACCCCGGGGTCCCACCCTGAGCCAAGGGCAAACACTCAACCACTGAGCCACCCAGGCACCCCCACATTGACTTTTCAATCTTCAGTCAATTGCGAAGATGAGTATGTGGCTTTGATTCTCCATGACAGGGATTCCTAGATCTTTAACAATTCTGAGTCTTTATTGTTGTTACATTTTTCTCTGAAAATAATGCGGTATTTTCAGAGAAAATTAGCAAAATTATTTTGCTAATTTCTATTCTCTAATTAAAATGTATTTTATTTGGACATGTTTCTACCAAAATCACTGCTCTGTCACCATAATCATTGCCACCTTCATCTTTTGCCTAGCCCGTTGCCACAGCCTCCTAATGGGCCTCACTTCCAGCCTTCGATATGATCTTCTCCAATCCATCTTCCTTTTCGAAAAATAAAGTGATCTTATCAAAACTCCCATGACGCTCTCCTGCATAAAACTATCAAATGTATGTGATTGCTCTTAGACCAAAATCCAAGCTCTTACGCTATGTACACAAGGCCTTCACTATCACCCCACTGCTATCTTCGGCCCCGCCTACTGTAGCCCTTACTGAAGTGCCAAGCAGCTCTTGTGTGCCCGACTCTCTCCTCTGTCCCCGTGCCAACATCACTCCTCTCCTCAAGGCCTGTCCCACCCCCGCTTCTAAAACTCCTCCACATCAAGTGCCTCTTCTGTGTCTTCAGATAAAATCTTGTGCAGACCCTATTCTCACTTCCCACATGGAAAACTCACCCCATGAAGCCCCTCTAGACTGCTAGATAGATCTTTGAAAACCAAAAACATGACTTGGTCTCTGTTTCCTGAGGTGGCCCAGCACTTGGTGAGCTCAGTCAATATTTTCTGGATGAATGACTATGAGAATAAATAACTGAAGAAAACCAGGAATGATTGCAGAGCTGGGATGGGAATCCCATTTCAACTTCGTAATTTTCTTTATTTGCAAGAGAGGTTTGAAACATACTGATTCTAATAAGATTCCCTTTCTCGCCATTTTCTCACTCATGAACCATCAAGTTGGGAAAACAAAAATGTATATTAAAACATATTAGGTGTATTTCATCCTTTGGGGAAATGCTTTACTCTCAATTCTCTTATCTGAAATGTATTTTCACATCTCAGGGGTAGGAAATACTAGCACTTAGAAGCTCATTGAGAAACACAGTTTCTGGTATTTTAAAAATATTGCTATTTTGGGAGGCCTGGGTGGCTCAGCCGTTGAGCGTCTGCCTTTGGCTCAGGGCTTGATCCCCAGGGTACAGGATTGAGTCCCGCATCGGGCTCCTTGCCTATGTCTCCACCTCTCTCTGCGTCTCTTGTGAATAAATAAATTAGATCTTTAAAAAAAATAAAACAAAAATTGCTATTTATTTCACTATCCTATTCCCCATTTTGAAACGTATAATACAAAAAGATTCTTTAATGGGGTTTTACATTTTAGAAAACCCAGTCCTGTGCATCGTCTCATTTGAATCCCAGGACAAATTAAATAGCACAGTAGAGAAATCATATAAATAATGGCTCAGTTTATTTAGCTCGCAACATTGTCATTTTAGAATGTTTATTTAAGATAACAAGACCTTAAAGAATGTTAAGAAGGCTGCACATTAAGAAACTAAAAAAAAAAAAATGTAGGTAGTACTGCAGTGAAAAATTACCACCATTGACATAATTTATCATAAACCAGGATTTGATATATTTATTTCCTTCAAGGTATTTATATATATACATATGTGGGGGGGGAGGACAAAAGAAAAGTATTAAAGGAGGAAGGTGAGGATAAAGATATACTAAATATTCAGGCAACAATTTTTAGGAGTAAAAACAAGTCAGGCTTCCATAATTTAATCATCCCCGTTTCCTCTCCCTGTTCAACCCCAAATGGCAAAATGAACAAAAGGGACCCTTTGCTATATTTTTCAGACATTTTTTTTTAATTTTTTAAAAATTTTTATTTATTTATGATAGTCACAGAGAGAGAGAGAGAGAGAGAGAGAGAGAGAGAGGCAGAGACACAGGCAGAGGGAGAAGCAGGCTCCATGCACCAGGAGCCCGACGTGGGATTCTATCCCGGGTCTCCAGGATCGCGCCCTGGGCCAAAGGCAGGCGCCAAACCGCTGCGCCACCCAGGGATCCCTTTTTCAGACATTTTTGTATCTGCTCCTCAGCCTTTTGCTTTGCACTATGTCTGAACTGCCACCAACGGCACCTTACCCCCTGATGCTTGTGTTAAGTAAAAGATGCCCCTGCGTAGGGTAACGCTTCCATCTATCAGCTGAGCAGTCATCCGTTACTTTATGTGAATGAAGGATCTGAGAAGGGGATACTGGAAACTACATAAGGGACCTGCGAGAGGGCTTTGAGCTGAGCTCCACGTGAGAGTACCAAGGAGGAAGTTGGGACAGAAAAAGGGAAAATAGGAGGCTCCAAAGACACAATCCTCAGCCATCATGGCTTTGCTTTTGGACATTCCTGCCCCAAACCTCTAGTGAAGGGGACAATGGAAAATGAACGAGCATAGAGAAACTTGATGTCACCTAAAGACTTTTCTTTTTTCCATAAAGAAATGTTACTTATGTCTGATTGAATGTAAAGGACCCTGGAAGGGGACGTGAGGGCTCTGCTACTACCCTGTACCCTAAAGATAATGCTGAAAAGCAAAAGGTAAAGTAAAAACTGAATTACAACCTCTGACCATCGGTCTCTCTCTCACCTTGCCTCTCTGTGCTGTTGACTGTTGCCACATTATCTGTGGCAAAGAAAGAAGACCACAGAGCAGTCAGAGAAATCAGAGGACACCACTTCAACAATTATCCAAAAATAGGACAGAGACACCTATCTGCCTGCACTTGGACGTGTTAGGGCACTCAGCTTGGCTGCACGTTTGGAGAAGTGGTTTTTGCCATTATAGGAAAAGGTAGGGGTGGAAAATGATGAGAGAAAGGAAGAGACATGACTCAGAGTGGGAAACAGCACGTAAGCAAGGGCAAATATTTCTCCCAGACATAAACACATCAGGAAGAGATCAGAGCAAAAGGTCATCTTTGGAGCATTCTTTTCTTTCCCTGCCTCCAAGTAGCTTGTCATCAAGCACCTGCCAGTAACAAAAGGGGAGGGAAGGGCAGTAAGCAGGACCTGCTTCTCTAGCTGAATGGCATACCAGTTCCAGCCAACTGCTGGCTCAGCTAACTGGGACAAGTGAAACAAGAAGTCTTTTGGAAAGTTGAGGGATAAACACACAATTTCCCAGGGAGGCAAGTAGCAAGGATTAACGTGCTTCTTTAACGGAGGGGGAAACTGGTTGGAATCCTTCATGCCTTGTATCAGCAGGACAATTCTGATCTCTGGTACAGACACTAACATTTATATTTGTTAAGCATTTATTACCTGCCAGGCATTTATTTAATCTGCCCTTTAATCCCATGATATGGATTTTATCATCATCCCCATTTTTCAGAAGAGTAAATTGATGCCCTGCAGTTGAGGGATTTTCCCAAGATCACAGTGGGAGTGAGGATTTGAGCCAAGAGAATCTGACACCAGAGTCTAGGCTCTTAATCACTACAGAGATGATTTGCTATTTCTAGCATGTGTGCATAGCTGTTCTAATGATTTGCTCTCCCTTCTAGCCAAATTCTTCCTTTTCATTCATCACTTAGTCATGTCACCTTTCCTGCCCTGAGAAGCACCCGTTTTTTTTTTTCCCCTTTCTCTGATCAATGGAGTCAGTTCCAAGTCCTCAGTGATAAGAGTTCCCCCCAAGCTGGTAACTGAGTGCCCTGTACCCTCCTCACTCTGTCCCTTTCTGACCCCTGAGCCCTCCCCCAGCCTTATACCCTGCTCTCCTGAGCAGACTCTTTCTTTCCCTTTACGGTCTGTGCTCTAGGCTCTACACTCTAGCTTAAATGAGAAAGAATATTTTTCAAATATCAGTTATTATTCCTATCTTCTGT